GAAGAAGAAGAAGAAGAAGAAGAAGAAGAAGAAGAAGAAGAAGAAGAAGAAGAAGAAGAAGAAGAAGAAGAAGAATTATTTAAAAACTACCCTTCTGAGGTTATTGAGATTATTGTGACTCTCACCTAAGACACTATATTCAAGTCACTAGAATAGCACCTTGCATGTAGTAAGTGTTCAACAGACTGAGCTATTATTAGACCATTAAAATCAAGAAGGCAATGCCACTTTTGTCGTGGGTGAAGGTCGTATGTGTATTAAGGTGACTGCAGATGTGAAAGACTGTGAATTATCAGGGAAGTGTTACAGCCAGAAATTGCCCCTGCGGGTCATGGCTGATGTTGCACTGGCTGGAGTGGGGCAAGGGTGATGGGGGTGGGGTTCTCATCTTCACAGGGTCTCCGCTCTTGCTTCAGAAGAAGGAGCTTGAGGTCAGCTCTCCACCTCTGTGGGGTAAGGTACCCCCTTTCCTTTCCAGGTGCCTCTATAAGCTGAGCCCCAATCTCCCTCAGTGAGGGAAGCTTTGCTTCTCCTGCACCTGCTGCAGGAAAAACTCCAGCTGCTTTGGGAGGAAGAGCTGGGATCCTTCCCTTCCCTGCCTGGGGAGGCAGCGTGAACATGAGAGCACCAACGTTACACAGAGCAAGCAGGCTTGCCTCCCTCTTACCTCTGTCATGTCTCCAAAGGGCAGAAGTTCCAGGTCCCGATTCAGGGAGCAGCAGTGGAGCACCTGGAGGTATCTGCGAAGGACAGGGAGCCGTAAGGCACAGGGGACCAGCCTTCCTGCCCATCACCCTTTGCAGTGTCAAAAGGAGTAGTCTTGATTTTCATGCTAAGAAATTTAGACTTGATCTTGTGTTTAATGGTATACCACCGAAGGCTTTTTTCATTTCCTTCCCTCTTTCATTTCTTTTAAATTAATACACACTCTTAGTAAATATTTGACCGGAACAAAAAGATGCAATGAAAAGCAGTTCTCTTTCCCATCTTTGACCTTCATTTGCTTTTCTCAAAAGCAGCCACTATTGGCTGGGTGTGGTGGCTCACACCTGTAATCCCAGCACATTGGGAGGCCGAGGAGGGTGGATCACCTGAAGTCAGGAGTTCGAAATCAGCTTGGCCAACATGACAAAACCCCATCTCTACTAAAAATACAAAAATTAGCTGGGCGTGGTGGTGCATGCCTATAGTTCCAGCTACTCGAAAGGCAGAGGCAGGAGAATCGCTTGAACTGGGGAGGTGGAGGCTGTAGTAAGCCAAGATCATGTCATTGTACTCCAGCTTGGGAGAAAAAGTGAGACTCCACCTCAAAAAAAAAAAAAAAAAAAAAAAAGCATCCACTATTACAGTGTCTTATGTATTTATTCAGAAGTAATCTATTCATATATGGATGTGTACTGCATGGTACTGCAGGTATAGGTTATTATTGCTTTAACGGCACTGTAGTATTCCATTATATGGTTGCACCATAAATTATCTAACCAGAGCCCTAGTGATAGAGATTGGAATTGTTTCTACTCTTTTGCTCCTGTGAGCAGTGCAGTGTGAACATCTTTGTATATGGGTCTTTGCTTCATGGGTGAAAATATCTGCACATTAAATACCTAACAGTGGATTTGCTGAGTCAAAGGGTTGGTGCGTTTTTATTTTAACAGATGTTTCAAAACTTCTGTATGAGTTCTATCAGTCTCGCAGAAGACCATAAAGAAGAGCAATGACAGGACGAGAGCCAGGACTTAGGCTGATTGCCCTGGAGACAATCTTACGCAGGGTGGAACAGAGCAGGAGATTAGAGACAGGGACCCAAGGGCAGGGGCAGTGGGAACTGTTCAAACAAGAGATCACAGGCTGAACGAACTAGAAGCAGAGATGGAGAAGACAGAAATACAAGAGATATGTAGGAGACAGGCTTATTCACAATTGGTGACCAATTAGATGTGGAAGCACTCAGAGGAGGAGACATCTGGCTTCCCCGGGTGCAAGGTTTGGGTGATGCCATTAAACTGAGTTGCACAATTTGGGAAAAGAAGCCAGGTGTATGGGGCTGAGCAGGCAGGGTGCTCGTGAGTTGGCACTGGACATGATTGTGAGGTGTACACAGGACAACTAGACAGAGACAGCCAGTTCCTACACCTCCATATCTATGTTGTTGCCGGGGGCCAATTGCAAAACCAAGCAAACAGTCACAGGTCAGAGTCCACCATAGTTGGAAGCGTAGCTGTAGCATTCAGAGCAGTTTTCCTGGACCCTTCATTGAACAGGCTTCACTCATGACATCCAATCTCATGTCTCGGGCAGGTGAACCCGATAATTCTAGGGCAGGGAGAGGCCACAGAGGGAAAGGAGGGATATGGACAAGACTTGGGAGATCCACGGGGCCATAGATTCAAACCGGTTTCCGCTATGTCACAGAACCTCATCGCTCCCATTTGTTTTCCTTTTCACTTAGAGGCCAAGATTTAACGAATACAAATGAAGTTCTACTGTAGCAATTTTGGAGGGGGGAGAATATATTGACTATTTTGAGCCAATACAGCATAATAGTTAAGCATGAAGTTTCTGAAAGCAACTGGGTTCAAATCCTGGCTCTATCACATCCCACCACCTGGGTGACTTTGGGCAAATTATTTAACCTCTTGGGGCCTCAGCTGATTCATCTGGAAAATTGATATGATGGTATTTCTTTCACAATGAGGGGTGAATATGATAATGAGTGAAAGTGGAGCACACAAGTGTTAGCAGTTGTCAGGTTACCGTTCAAAGCTGGAAGTGCCCCCAGACCAGCCACATGCCCTGTGCTCTCCCCTTCCCCTCCAGGAGCTTACCGGGCCTTGTCATATGGATCTCCCATGAGGATGTTCTCCCTGATGCTCCCGCTGACGATCCAGGCCTGCTGGGGGACATAGGCCAGGCTTCCCTGCACCCCTACTGAGCCCTCAAGCAAGTTCATCTGCGGCAGAATGAGTCCAGCCTGAGGACCAAGTGGGCAAAGAGACAGAGCCTGCCTGGCTCAGCAGGCACAGTGCCCACGGCCCCATTGCCCTCCAGGACCTTGGGGGCTCTCCTAGGTAAAAGGGACTTTTAATGTGGCCCTGCCAGGCCCACCAGCGAGTTGCAGGGACCGGCCATGAGAACATGTGGAAGCAGCTGGAGATAAGCCCAGCCAGGTCCTGCTTGGACTGAATCCAAGGTCTGCACTAAAGATACCCTAAACGTTTTTTCCTCTTATTTGTCCCAGCCCCATTCCCAGGCAGCCAGTGCCTCCATGGTCTTCACCGTGCACACCAAAATTTCCAGGCTATCTCTGAGCATGCCTGGGTATTATGGAATTATTATTGTTAGGTAGGATAATGTTATCATGGTTAGGTAGAAAAACGTTCTTACTTTTGGACATCATGATGAAGTATTTAGAAGGGAAAGTGTTATAACCTGTGTAATTTAAAGCATTCTACAAAATATATGTCTGTATAGTAAGGTAAATACGCAAAAACTATCAACAGCTGCATCTAGATGGTGGGTATATGGATTCCTGCTGTAGTGTTCTTCCAGCTTTTCTGCATAAGTTCAAAACAACACGTTAAAAACAAATAGAGATAGACACTCATCCCCAGCACCCTGACATGGGACCTCATCATTCTTAATCCTTTCTCTTTTATACCCTGACATGTTTACTTCTAGTTTGGAGCCAGACTTTAACAAATAAGAACTTTAAAATGGCATCTCTGTGTCTTCCTTTATTAGAAGGAAAGTGACAGGCTTATTTGCATAGGAAACTGACAAACCACTGGGCGCGTAGGGAGGTGGCCTTGCCTGGATGCTGCCGGGTGATGCTCCTGTGATGTAGAACAGAGCTCTGACCTCAGGTGGACCTGGGACTCAGCCCTGGCTCACCCCTTACCTGCTGCATGACCTTGGATGAGTCACCTCTCAGAATCTCACGTACTCATCTGTAAATGGGTCATCATGAGTGTGCCTTTGTCATGGGAGGTTACCAGCGTTAAAGGGAAAAATGGAAAGCTCTTTGCACAGGACTTGGCATGTAAGTACTGAAGCTAGTTTTACTGTTTTTTTTTAATGGAGTCTTTCTTCCTTGCAGTTGCGAAGAAACTGGGGAAAGGCCATCCCATATGCAGCACGTGGCTGATGCATTAAGAGAGAGCTGGCTTTGGTAACATGACCGCATTCCAAGGAAGGGATGAGTTTGGCAATGTTCATTTGGGAGAAGGAGCTGAGGGAAAAGCCGAAGAAAGGAAGGAAAACTTCTCCCAGTGATAGGGGAACAAGGGACAATGGGCAGAAGAAGAAGGGGGAAGAGATGGCAGCCCAGGAGGGGGTGAGGTTGGGGCTCTGTGGGGAAGGGCTGGTGTAAGACTCCTGCGGGAAGGTGAACAAAAATGCGTAGCAGGTGGCATGGGTGCTTTTAGTGTTCATTATAAGGTGTGCAGTGTGACCCCAAAGGATCTGGGGAATGGGCTTGGGGTTTTTTCAAACTGGAGAAATGGCCGGGCATGGTGGCTCACATCTATAATCCCAGCATTTTGGAAGGCCGAGGCGGGTGGATCACTTGAGGCCAGGACTTCAAGACCAGCCCGGTCAACGTGGTGAAACCCGTCTCTACCAAAAAATACAAAAATTAGCTCGGTTTGCTGGCGCATGCCTGTAGTCCCAGCTACTCAGGAGGCTGAGGCATGAGAAACTCTTGAACCCTGGAGGCAGAGGTCGCAGTGAGCCGAGATCACGCCATTGCACTCCCAACTGGATGACAAAGCAAGACTCTGTGTGAAAAAAATGAAGAAAGAAAGAAAGACAGAAATACAGGGAAGGGAAAGGAAGGGAATAGAAAACGGAAAGAAAAGAAAGAAAAAAGAAACTGGAGAAAGGGTGTGTGAACCACATGTCCACATGGCAGCAGACCTCAAACTTGTCCACAGGGGATGGAATGAGGGGTTCAAATCTCAAGGGCAAGTGCACCTAGCAGGCATATGTACCCCACTGCCAGAGTACGAGTAAGACTGCCTCATCCCATCCAGCAGGCCTCCTCTCCCCAGCCTTCCTTCCTTCTTTCTCCCTGTTTCTCCCCCAACATTTCTCTTCCGATCCCGTCCTAAAAGGCACAAACATCCCACTCTCAATGTTATGAGTTTGGCTTATAAAATGATTTTATGCTCTTTTTTTAAAGGAACCATTGCAACAGGGTATTGCAGTGTGGAAGAGAGATTGGACTCAATTCCCTGTTAAATAATTTGTATGATCATATTAACTTTGAGTTAATATCCTGTATCCTCACAGAGCACAGGTGAGGACAGATCTCCAGGTGATGTAAGAGGCAGCCCGCACCAGGAGTGCTGCCACAAGGTGAAGAGAAAGGGCCACCTTGATCACACACCTCCCACACAGTGCAAGCACAACCATTTTTGATTTATAAAAACCCCACTTGCTCAGACCCCTGTGAGGAAGAAAGCAGTGGGGGACCCTGCCTGGGGCACTGGAGCTTGGGAGCGCCTGGACTGCTTGTGGACAGGCACGCATGTGGCCACAGATCACTTACCTCCCCAAGGATGGCTGACAACAGGCTGCTCTTACCACTCCCCGTGTTGCCGCAGACCCCTAACATCATCCCCTGCAAGCCAAGGAGGACACACAAGTGTTGGGACAGCACAGCCCTGGCATATCCACCTGCTCAGGGCGGCTCAACTATTTAGAACCCAAAACAACACACAGAAAACAAAACAACCACACAGAGCCCAAGACTCCTCAGACAAGCAAAGCTCAAGAGGAGCTTTGCGTTCAGTCCCTGGAGGCAGGAGGGGTGGCCCGAGAGGAAGCAGATCACAAGGAAAAGGCAGAGGGGAACTCAGGGGTAGGTGGCAAGAACCCTGAATTCCAGATTGGTGTCTATTCTATGCAGCAATCCTGGGAAAGCCACTTAGCTTCTCTGGGCCTCAGTTTCTCCATCTGTGAAATGGGAATAAAGAAGCCAGTCTCACAGAATTTCATGCATGCATGCATTTATTCAAACATTCATTCATCCATCAAATAGTGATCTGAGTTTCCTCTATGGACCCAGTAATGAAGAGAAGACCTCACATTGAGCTTAGAACGTAAGCTGAGGGGATGGGAAGACAGACAGACTACATAAATAAATAAATAAATATCAGATAGAGATAAGTGATATGAGTAAAATGAAGTCAGCTCTTATGACAGACAGAGAGTTGGGGTTGAGTCAATTTTAGACGAGTCAGCCAGGGAAGGCTTCTACAGAGCAGGCGTCATTGCTGCCCCAGAGCTGTGAGAACTCTAGTGGGGAAGAGGTCAGAGGTACAGGTACCGATTTGGAGGAACCCGGGCTCTAAGGGCAGTGAAAAGTCACTGAAGGGTTTAAGGAGAGTGACTTGAATTGGTTTACATTTCAGAAAGATCCTTCTGTCATAGTATAATACAGTAGTCCCCAACCTTTTTGGCACCCGGGACCAGTTTCATGGAAGACAATTTTTCCACAAACTGAGGGTTGGTGGAGGATTGATTTCAGGATGAAACTGTTCCACCTCAGATCATCAGGCAAGATTCTCATAAGGAGCAATCTGGATTCCTCGCATGCATACTTCACAATAAGGTTCGCGCTGCTATGAGAATCTAATGCTGCCGCTGATCTGACACAAGGTGGAGCTCAGGCGGTGATGCTCACTGGCCTGCCGCTCACCTCCTGCTGTGCGGCCTGGTTTCTACCAGGCTGTGGACCAGTGCAGGTCTACCACCCAGGTGTCAGGAACCCATGGTATAATGGATTTTGGAGGCTCAGAGAGACAGAGAGTGGGAGTGGGGTGAGAGACACAAACTACCTATTGGGTACAATGCACACTATCGGGTCACAGGTGCACTGAAATCTCAACTTCACCACTATACAACTCCTCCGTCTAACCAAGACCCACTTGTACCCCAAAAGCTATTGAAATAAAAAATACATATTAATTATTTAAAAAAGGAAAATCCCTCTGTCTGCTGCATGGTAAAAGGCTCATAAGAAGACAAAAGTGGGAGCAGAGAGGGGGATAAGGAGGTTCTGGGAGCGGCATGACAGTGGCAGGGATAGGGCAGTGGAGGGGCTATGGTGAGGGCGGCAGGTTCGGGGCAAATGTGGAAGTCAAGCTGATGGCCTTGCTGGTGGATTGGATTCGAGGAGGGAAGGAAAGGAATCAAGTGTGACTTCCAGGTCCTTGACCACTGGAAGGATGATGGTGCCATCTCCCAGGAGAAGGAAGATTTAGGGAACTCATTAAAGGGGGTGAATATCAAAACCTTATTTCATTTTAAATGCTTGATGGACACTTAAGAGAGATATTATATATGCAACCGAGTCTGGAGTCCAGAAGAGACTTCAAAGTTAGAGATAATAGCACAGAGATAGAATTTAAAACCATAGGGCTAGAGATGATCACCAAGGAAAGAAGTATAAATAGATAACAGACAGTAGATATTAGATATTAACACCTATTACTATTAGGTATTATCTAGTTTTTAGACATTTATCACTATATATGAATATCAATATCTATTCTATGTCAATTATTATTAGATATCAATATCTACATTAATAGATAACAGAGAAGAAAAGAGGAGGGGCAAAGAGGAGACAGCAGGAAGCTAATCTTTGTAAACATCAGGCAGAGAAAGAGCCAGATTAGGTGAGTTCACAGAATAACAGAATTCAAACACAGGATGGTGCTTGGCACATACGAAGAATGTAATAAATGTTAGCTGAGTCTCCTTTCCCTTCTCCTTTCTGTGTCCTTGGTCCTTCCAAGGACCAGCACACAGTACTCTCATATTATTTTGGGTCTTACCTAAGCCAAAAAAATTTTACATGATAGATTAATTCACACTAAAAAATGAAAGATACTCTGTATTTGTCCTCCATGAAAAATTTGAATTTTAAAGGGAGAGATCTTGGAAAGGGCAGTTTTTAACCAAGGAAATGGTGGGGCACCTGGCCAAGCTCCCAGTCTCAGGTCCTGAGCGCCTGGCAGGCAGCCTGCCTGCATGGCCTGAACAAGGCTACCTTGGACACCACCAGGTTGATCTTGTGCAACTCTGGGCCCAGGCTCTTCCCTTCTTCCTCTGGCTCGAGGGCATCTCTAGGCCTGGTCACCCCCTCAGAAGTGTGTCCATTCCTCTCCAGCTCCAATGCCCCATTGACGACCCCGGGACAGGTCTGTCGCCAAGACAAGGTGGCCTCCTCCAAGACCAGAGCTTTGCTGGGGTCTTGTAATGTCTGGACATAGAAAACAGGGCTCTCCTGGAGGAAAAACTTCTGAAAAGACAAAAGGAAATAGAGGGAGGAGGAATGCAGTTCTTTAGTTCAGCAGGAATGTGTTCCCAGTTTTACAAGCCTGCCAGTTGGTATGGTTTTCTGAATTTCGAATAAGCAGTAAAAGTTTGCAGAAGCACCACCAGTTAGGAAACGCCAGTTTCTGCGGGTGACAATTCTAGGTCAGCGTTTTCCAAATTTCAGAGCACAGGGCTGCTCTTCCATATTTGCAAACACTGCGCTATCAACGGCAACTCTGCTCAGGAGGTTGACTAAGGACTAACCTACATTAGCCTCATCCCAAGTGATGATAGCCATTGACTCATAAGACTGATGTTTTTCTAATTAAATTCTTTTAATATTGGGCTGGACATAATCGCTCATGTCTGTAATCCTAGCACTTTGGGAGGCCAAGTCGGGGGATTGCTTAAGCTCAGGAGTTTAAGACCAACCTGGGGAACGTAGTGAGACCTCCATCTCTTTAAAAAAAAAATTCTACTTGTAGCTATTGAGAATAAAAACTCTGTCTGTGTCTCACACTGGGGAAAGGTCATTTGGGGTCATACATTTCAAAAGGTGACCATCAGCAGGTCACTTCTCTCTGCATCTCCAGCTCCCTGTCTATAAAGCATAAGGGTTGAACTACATAAATTCTAGCAATCAAAAGAATGGGAGGGGAGTATGATCCTACGGAAGTCAGGATTACATTCAAATAGGCCTACCTGGAGATATGCTTAAGAGATCTAGAAGGATGCTTCCTGACATTTTGGACTCTCTTACCCATCCTTCTGAGCTCTGATTGCGGCTTCCTCATCTCTGCCCCCTCCACAGGTGAAAACAAGCACAGAAGGGGAGAATGAATGGACAAACCCAGTGTCCCATGGGAAGGAAGGCAGTGGCAGGAGCCTTCTCACAGCTGCTGAGAAGTCAGGGAAGCGGGCTGGGCTGGTGATAAGCAAAGCACTGTTTGTGTTACTCAGAGCAGCCAAGTTCGTTCCAGCCTCAGGGCTTTCACACTTGCTGTTTCCTCTGCCTGGTCATCATCACTCAGTCACCTTGGCAGGGGCCTTTCTTAACCAGGCTCTTCCCAGGAGCCCCCAGCCCTCCCCAACATACTCCCTAGAACAGGCATGTCCAATCCCTTGGCTTCCCTAGGGCACATTGGAAGAAGAATTGTCTTGGGCCACACAGAAAATACACCAACACCAGCGACAGCTAATTAACAACAAAAAAAAAAAAAATCGCAAAAAAAAAAAATCTCCTAATGTTTTAAGAAAGTTTACAAATTTGTATTGGGCCACATTCAAAGCTGTCCTGGGCCACATGCGACCCGTGAGTTGCAGGTTGGACACGCTTGCTCTAGGACATCACATTGTTTTATTGGCATCATGGCTCTTCATGTGATCTGATCGAATCCTCTTTGATCATTAATTTACTTATTAATTGTCTGTTTCCAATACCAAATCGGAACTCCCTGACAGCAGGGACCCCTGTTCAATGCAGTATTCTCAGTGCCTAGCTTGTGGTAGGAGCTCAATAAATATATATATATATTTTTTGCATTAATGAATGAATGAGTGAATGAGTGATAATAGGTCGTGGACTGCATGTACATAAAAGTCGGGTGACTACAAAATGACTTTTAAAAATTGGTTTAGATTAGGGTTTTCAAACTTAGATGCCAACTATATAAATAAGTGAAGTGGACCATTTCTAAGATGATACATGATAATTAAAATGCAGCTCCAGGCCTGGAGGTGTAATAGGGTATGGTAGAGACTGCAGCAAACTGCAGCTAAATGCCTCCATCTAAACAGGGCAGCTATCACCTCAACTCCAGCTGCTTGTGGCCATGGTAGATTGTGGTCCAGGGTCACTAGATCTTCTAATCATTCAAGAGAATTCAAAAATCTGGGTTTTCACATAAAATGTCCAAGTGTTTCAATGCAAGCAACATCTATGGTGTTTTTCTAAAACAAAACTATCTATCAGGGTAACTCTATGCAAACCTGGATAAAGTCTGCAGAGCATCTGTCTGAGACCTGGTTTAGACACACTATCCTAAGATCTCCTTGGAGACTGAGACCTGACCCAATTCATCTGTCTTCCCAGGCCCCACACCAGCCTTGGCACAGGAGGTCACTGAGTTAGCTAATCCCTCTCTCAACCTAGGCCTTGGCCAGGGGACATGTTCGGGAGGAACATCACGGGGGCTGAAGGCAGAGGAGCGTCCAAGCAGGGGGCCTACAGCCAGTCCCCTGACCACCTACCTTGAACCTCATCACCGCAGACTTGGAATTCGTGAGGCCTTTGACTGCTAAGGGCACAAACAACACTGACAGCCGAAGGGGAGTCAAGGAGCCCAGCATGCTGAAGGCCTGGATAAGAAGGGGAGGAGGCAGTAAGGGTCGTGGCCCTTCCTGCTTCCACCATTCCCTGGCACCCGCATCCCTGAGCCGCATCCTCAGCATCCAACAAGCAGTTGGTTCATCCAACAGAGGCTAAGTTAGTGTTTAGGGGGAGACTGGAAAAAGCTGGGGAAAGAGCACTTGTCTTGGAGTCTTAGAGTTAAAGGTCTAGTCCCTGTTGCAGCTTAGCCACTGACATCTCTAGCTTTGGGTAGGTTGCCCCTACCGCATCCCAGTTTCCCCACTGGCATAGTGAGAAAAATCATGAAGTACATACAGGAATAAAGTTGGGAAACACCAAAAAAATTCATATGAGTGAGCATTGCTTCCTTTCAATGGAGCTTGGTGCTATTCTTGCTGTCAAGGTCCTATTTCTTCTTCTTTGCCTTAGATGTTTGTTTTCTTTCTAACATTCAACATTTCCTTACCCTTCATGCCTAACCCATGCTGCACTGTGACTAGAGCAAAACACCTTAGGCTCTCAGGACCCCAGAAGGTGCCCTCCTGGAGGTGCTGAAAGAACCTTCTAATCCATGCCTATCTCTCCTCCTTTCTTCTCCTGGCTCCATCCAAAAATGAACTCCAGTGGAGCAGGAATGCCTTGGTCTAGACCTGCCTTGTGTCATCTCAGTGTCAGCCTCAAGTGCCTCTGAAAGTATTCCTTCTATAGCACCCCCAACACCCTCAGAGTTCTCGGGGTTGTTTCCCTGGTGCATGCCTGAGCCAAGCAGAGGGGCCAGCCATCTGGGGCACACACAATCCCTTGACCGCAGACTCTCAAATGTTTCCCTTCTTGCTCTGGGTGCTGCCTCCTGGCTTCCCCGGTTGGATTACCACCCCTCCAAGAGCGGCACCCTGTCTTATTCTGCTCAAAGAGCTGGGATTCCTAACCCTGTAAGGCAGCTGCCACTTCTCAGGGCCGGGTTCTGACCACGAAGGGAAAGACCAAAGAAGCTATACCTTTGTATTTGAAGTGCACTTCCGGGGCCCTTATTTAGGGGTTAGAGGAACTGCTCAACCTCAAGGTGTAATTCAAATTGTCAGAATTTTAACTACAGGGACGACCTCCCCCCCACCCCTGATGGGTCTGCTGTCCAGTCCGCCCACAGGGCTGTCCAAGATGTCACTTTCTAAGATGGGTTGAGATGGAAGACAGCGCTGTACTTTTGTCTGGAAAATCAAAATGAACATATAGTGTTCATTTACAAAGCCTTCAGACCTTTGAGGGGTATGGCTAAAAAAGGACACATGAGAAAACTCCCGATCATGATGGGGAGAAAACAAAGCCCCCCAAACCCTTACCGTTGACGTTGTGAGTTTCAACTTCAAGGATGTGTGGACGAGAATCCAGGCTGCTGTGGCCACTGTGGGGATGACGAACAAGGCTACAGTGGTCAGGCTCTGGACAAGCCCGCACTTCTCCAATAGTTTCCTTTCCTTCCTTCTTAGGTCTGGGAAATAAAAAAGAAATACACCAAAGATAACCACAAGAACATTCTCCAAAGAGCACAGCACCATCCCCAAAGCATCAAAAAAAAAAAATATCCCCAAGAGGTGAGAGGGACTTGGATCACCATGCCATCATCAGGTTTGGAGCAGAAAGCCAGACTTTCCATACCTTCAATGATTTTTGTAAATGGTTTCTCCCATGTGTACATTTTAATCAGCTTAATGCAAGTGAGAACTTCACTGGTCACACGAATGCGCTGGTCGCTGACCTCAGATGTGTCATGCTGAGCCTTCACAGCCATTCTTGTCACGAATACCTGGAGTCAGGATACAGCAAGTTTGGAGTTGATCTGCAAGGGCTTCTTTTGACAAAAGCAGGAGGGTGCAGTCTGGCATAAGTAGGGCAACTGGGTGTATTTCCAAAGAGAGGTTTTCCAGTCGAAGGTCTCCAGGCCACCATGCCTTAGGGCATCCCAGGGGCCTTTCTTTCCTGAGTCCCAAGCCAGGCTGTGGCTACTGAGACAGAAACTAAACTGAAACGGTTCCTCTGTCTTCTGGAACCATAAATCCTCTAATAATTAAAATCACCTTTCAATCAGAGTGCCTGCACTCAGGAAAACACTCAATTTCAATAATTCAGAGCACACATAATCCAAGAGTCATTTCTGTTTTCTCAATTTTATTTCACCTGAATCTTTGGCAACAAATGTGCTTCCCTTTCCCCATTATACTGTGCTCAGACAAATGTTAAATGCTGGCTGTGTTATTACAACAGCACATTCTGGGTAGAAGAGATGGAACAAAAATCTTGCACAGAGATTATCTACAAAGGAAAGCTGTCAAAGCAGATAATCTCCCATAGAAAGCTATGAGGTAGACTTTGCACATCACATTCAGCTCTTATTTACTTATTAACCAAATGTTGTGACCAGAGAATAGTTTGAGGTAGGGAGTGGAGCTGAATCTTATCCACAATGGATTGAAAGGTCAACAAGAATCAACGTTCTCACTCAGAGCTATCCCAGATTCCAGAGCCCTGGGACTTCCAGGGCCCAGCATCAAATGGGTGACAAAGAGAGACATTACCTCCAGTGGGAAAACCAGGAGAAAGCATAAAATGGCAACAAATGCAGTGTATCCAACAATGAAGTAGGAAGAAATGCTGCAGATGACCAGTGATGCACAGCTGATCAGTAATAGGGGTCCATAACACACCCCTTCAAACAGGTAGTTTATGTCACCGGTGAAGAAGCCGATGGCCTGCAAGACAGCAAGTCCACGGGCACAGGTGTCACCTCCCTGGGTACCCAGAAGTGGTGGCAGGTGGCCTTCCCATGCCCTCTCCTAGCAGGAAGGCTTGAAAGGCAGGGTGGAAGAGTAGAGGCAGACACCCCAGGTTCACATCTTTCTTCTCTCTGTTTGTGTGACCCACAACAAGTTACTTCACCACTCTGAGCCTCAGCTTCTCTATCTGTAAAGCTGGAATAATTATACATACTTTATATGGGTTTTGTGAGATTTCAATGACATAGAAAGTGTCTGCACACATAGAATGTGATCAATAAAAGGGATATTTTACTATGATTAATACTACCACTATTACTACTGCTACTGAAACCATGCCCCAAAGAGTTAAAGAAACCAGTGACTAACAGATATTCTTGAGTTTTTAGGACAGCAGTTACAGAAAGAAACAACTTGCCGAAAGTCCCTCTGCTTGTAAGATAACAGATCTGGCTAAAATCGGTAGAACCAGTATGGCTAACTAGAGTCTGTGCAGAACCAGTTTGCTAACGTCACAGCCTAAAAATTTCCACCACATGTTTCATACTAATTCCCCATGAATTTGCAAATGGGACCCAGGAAGAGACATGAAGAGATCACTGCATATATACAAGGGCTTTTCAGACCTCCCCTCTCATTCCACCAATCACTTACTAATCTCAGAATCCACTCCTTAAATCTTTCCTAATAAAATCACTGTCTTAAAGCAAGTACAAGGAGACAGATCTGGGCTGGACTCCTGTCTCCTTGTGAGCCAACTTGCAATAAAAAGCTTTTCTTTTCTCAAAAACCCAGTGTCAAAGTATTGGCTTCTAGAACATTAGGCAGTGAGCCCCTTTGCTTAATAACACCACTAATATCTATATTCCAGAGAATTGTTTCCATTCTTCACTTGATTCTATTCATTCTACTACTAATAATAATATTAATTAAATGCTCTCCTTTTTTTTCTTTTTTGTTATAGATTCTTCTGCCTACTTCCCTCCTCCCACACGTACTGTGTGGGAGGTACTGTTATGGCTCAAGGCTATATAAAAAGTAACATTTGGCCAGGCACAGGGAGGCCAAGGTGAGTGGATCGCTTGGGCCCAGGAGTTTGACACCGGCCTGAGCAACATGGTGAAACCCCGTCTCTACAAAAAGTAGGAAAATTAGCCGGGCATGGAGGCACATGCCTGTAGTCCCAGCTTCTCAGAAGGCTGAGGTGGGAGGATCACTTGAGCCCAGGAGATCAAGGCTGCAATGAGCTGTAATCATGCCACTGCACTCCAGCCTGAGCAAGAGAATAAGACCCAGTCTCAAAACAAAAACAAAAACACAAAAACTTACATTCCAAATCAGGAAATCTTTAAAGAACAATTCACTAATGTTTTCTAGAATTACAAGTCTGAATCCCTTATAAAGTGATTTGCTTTTAACTTTCACCTAAACTCCTTCTAGTTTCTAGGACGTGCCCTAGTGGGAGTCTTTAAAACTTTTAAAAGTACTTTAGGGAGCAAAAATTGGTATAGCCACTCTGAAGGGCAATTTTAAAGTACCTTTTAAAATTAAAAATTGCACAAAACTCTATGATCTGGCAATTTCATTTTTCTGTTGAGAAACATTCACACATGTTAGATTAAGCACATACAAGGATGTTCATTACAGCACTGCTTACACCAGCCAAATGCTGGAAACATCCTACAAGTTGGTGGAAAAGGATTTAAAAAGTCCACCCCAGGCTGTGCTAAGTGGCTCACATCCATGATCCCAACACTCTGGGAGGCTGAGGCAGGAAGATTGTTTGAGGCCAGGAGTTCAAGATCAGCCTGGCAGCATAGCAAGACCCCATCTCTAAACAAAATTAAAAATTAGCCAAGCATGGTGATGTGTGCCTGTAGTCCTAGCTACTCAGGAGGCTGAGAGAGGATGATTGCTGGAGCCCGGGAGGTCAAGACTGCAGTGAGCTATGATGGCACCACTGCACTCCATCCTGGGTGATAGAGTGAGAACCTGTCTGAGACAACAACAAAGTCACCCCAGAAGTAGTAGGTAATCTTGGGTCCTAGAGCTAAATTGTCAGAGCTCATGCCCCAGTCTTGTCATTTACTAGCTGTGCAACCATAGACAAGTTACTCCACGTCTCTGTGCCTCTGTCACCTCATCAGTGAAATGGAAATAATACTACAAGCTACTTTCTCATATTGATTTGAGAACGGTGCTAGATAACGCATATATAACACTTTATTCGGGTACATCGAAAGTACTGTAATTATGATTCAGCATCACTGAAAAAAATAATGATATGGTTTCGCTGGGTTCCCACCCAAATCTCATCTTGAATTGCAGCTCCCACAATTACCATATGTTGAGGGAGGAACCCAGTGCGAGGTAAGTCATGGGGGCAGGTCTTTCCCATACTATTCTCGTGACATTGATTAAGTCTCACAAGATCTGACGGTTTTATAGCGGGGAGTTTCCCTTCACAAACTCTCTCATTCTCCCTTGTCTGCTGCCATGTAAGATGTGCCTTTCACCTTCTGCCACAATTGTGAGGCCTCCCCAGCCACGTGGAACTGTGAGTTCACTAAGCCTCTTTTCCTTTATAAATTACTCAGTCTTGGCCAGGCACGGTGGCTCACGGCTGTAATCCCAGCACTTTGGGAGGCCAAGACAGGTGGTTCACGAGATCAGGAGATGGAGACCATCCTGGCTAATATGGTGAAACCCCGTCTCTACTAAAAATACAAAAAATTAGTCGGGCGTGTTGGCAGGCGCCTGTAGTCCCAGCTACTCCGGACGCTGAGGCAGGAGAATGGCGTGAACCCGGGAGGCGGAGCTTGCGGTGAGCCGAGATTGCGCCACTGCACTCTAGCCTGGGCGACAGAGCGAGACTCTGTCTCAAAAAAAAAAAAAAAAAAAAATCCCCCAAAAGCTATGTTCTACATTTTCTATTGCAAAACCAACAGGAGGACACTATGTAAAACATAGTACCATTTACATAAAAATACACAAACACAAAATCCAATGCTTTTCATGGGTAACTTGCATGTGTACCTAAATGGACTTTTGTTTTTGTTTTTGAGATTGGGTCTCACTATGTTGTCCAGGTTGGAGTGCAGTGGTACAATCTCGGCTCACTGCAACCTATGCCTTCTGGGCTTAAGCCATCTTCCTTCCTCAGCCTCCCAAGTAGCTGGGACCACAGGCGCATGCCACCACGCCCAGCTAACATTTTGCATTTTTGGTAGAGATGGGGTTTCGCTCTATTGCCAAAGCTGGTCATGAACTACTAAACTCAAGCGATTCATCCAACTTGGCCTCCCAAAGTGCTGAGATTACAGGTGTGAGCCACCGCATCCAGTCAAATGTGCTTTAAAAGATCTGAAGGACAAAAACCAAGTTGCTAATGGTGCTAACCTCTGGCATAGGGGAAGAAACTAGGCCTAAGGCAACTTCTATACTATTTTATTTTGTTTCCAAGGAGAATGTATTCAGATCTTTTTTAAAAATTAATTTTAGTGCAAGAGAAAAGACAAAGAAATGTTTTTAAGTAAAAAAAATTTTTTTAAATTAATTTAAAAATAAAACATAGGCTGGGAGCTGTGGCTCATGCCTGTAATCCCAGCACTTTGGGAGGCCAAAGTAGGCAGGTCACCTAAGGTCAGGAGTTTGAGACCAGCCTGGCCAACATGGTGAAACCCCATCTCTACTAAAAATACAAAAATTAGCCAGGCATGGTGGCATACACCTGTAGTCCCAGCTACTTGGGAGGCTGAGGCAGGAAACCCAGAAGGCAGAGGTTGCAGTGAGCCAAGATTGCACTATTGCATTTCAGCCTAGGCGACAATAGGGAAACTCCAGCTCAAAAATAAATAAATAAATTTAATTTAATTAAAATGTATAAGCAATTGCCTAGAAATCCTTACTTCAGAAATTACTTCCATCTCCACTCTCAAATAGATCACTTTGTTTTACGCTTCTATGAAGATGTTTGAGGAAACTGGATTTTGCATACAGCAGGTGCTCAGAATACCCAGAAAGGAACCAAGCTAGGCCTTAGCACAGGGTTCCTTAGTGAGGCAGGTGATGGCAAGGGTTGAAGACCTGGACTCTGCAGCCAGGCACCATGTCCAAATTCAGACCCCAGCACTTAGCAATCACATGACCTTGTACAAGTTACCTACTCTTTCCTTGCCTCAGTTTCCTCCTTTGTGACAATGGGGACAATAACAGAACCTGCCACACAAGAGGGATGTTAGAGAACTGATCAAGCCAATGTAAGTAATGACTTGGAGCAATGTATGGCTAAGAGTGAGTTAGCGGTTGTTACAATGACTTTCCTGAGATAAACAGGGAGATCTTTTAGCTGTCGGTCAAGTGCAGGAGGACAGTGGAGCTCAAGGCCTAATAGAAACTAATACTAATTGTACAGCTTACACGTGTCAACCACTACCCCTTGTCTACATGCTTTATATGTACAAACTCACTGAATCCTATGAGACAACAATCCTATGAGGTTGGTTCTATTATTATTCCACAGCTTCAGAGAGGCCGAACAAGTTACCTAAGGCCACAGAACCAATAAAATGGTGAACAATAATAACCATGATGATTCCAATAAATACGTAATGTTTGTCAGTGCTTGCATTTATGGAGCCCCTCTACTTGATGACAATGAATAATTCAGCAGATGTTTTTGGAACATCTGTTCTGTGTAATTCAGGTGTTGAGCCTTCTGAGAGACAGAGTGGTGAATCTGAAATGGTTTGTGTCTTTGAAGGGGGCTCATATTAGTAGGGCAGCCAGATTTGTGCAAAAAGAACTGCAAATGCTTAGCAGGGAATGCCAGTAGAGGGCTGGGTTTGGAGATCCTGTCATGGAGGAGAGGAAAACTAAACTGGGTCTTGAAGGATGAGTAGGATTTTTAAAGGGCTGGGAGTAGGAGTGACATGAGCAAAGTCACCAGGAGGTGGACGTGTCCAGTGTATTTGAGCACTGAAGGTTAGCCAAGCCTAGATGACAGGAGGAAGTCAAGCTAGGGCTAGAGGAGAGGACATGGGAAGAGATGAGGCTGGAAAGGGGCTAATGCCAGATCACAAAGGGGTTTGGCTTAAAGGAAAGGAGCCAAAGCAGTGTTGCCTTTTCCAAAAATTAAGGTATCTGTTTCAATATCAAAGTAACCCACAACCCTTGAGGCAATTGGTAAACCACAGAAAAATAGAGATATCAAAATGAAATAGATGAAATCCCAGTATCCTCCATAACTATAGGTCATAAGTTGGAGTATCTTCCTCCATTTCTGTCAATGCTTGTGCGTGTTATGCTGTAAAAGAAAAGCAAGAGTAACAATGGACAGTAACAATAACCAGGCAGGTGAAAGGATTCCTTTTTTGCAGATAAGGAAATTAAAACTCTGAGATGTTACCAAAAATTGCTTTTCCCAAAAGATTTCCCTAAGCCATCAAGTCTTCCCATACCCTCACCCTCAGGTTGGCTTAGGGGATGCACTTTCCAACATGCTTCTACTTGGGATTTGTGTCTTTCTGTTAAGGGGCCTATTCCCAGGGTCTAGAACATAATCTGGCTCAGAAGAGGCCTCAGTAACTATCTGGTGTGTGTATGTGTGTGTGTGTGTTTGAGACAGGGTCTCGCTCTGTCACCTAGGCTGGAGTACAGCGGTGTGATCATAGCTCACTGCAGCCTTGAACTCTTGGGCTCAAGTGATCCTCCTGCATTAGCCTCTCAAGTAGATGGGACAACAGGTACACACCACCATGCCTGGCTACATTTTGTCTTTTTTTTTTTTTTTTTTTTTGAGACAGGCTGTCACTCTGTTGCCCAGGCTGGAGTGCAGTGGTGTGATCATGGCTCACTGAAGCCTCAACCTCCCTGGGCTCAGATGATCCTCCCACCTCAGCCTCCTGAGTAGCTGGGTCTACAGACATGCACCACCATGCCCAGCTAATTTTTTTATTTTTTTGCAGGGTTGGAAGTAGAGATAGGGTCTTGCCATTTTGCTCAGGCTAGTCTCAAACTCCTGGATTCAAGTAATCTTCCCGCCTTGGCCTTCCACAACCGGGATTACAAGACATGAGCCACCACAGATGGTTGATTTTTGTTTTTGTTTTGTTTTGTTTTTTGGTAGAGACAGAGTCTTTCCATGTTGCCCAGGCTAGTCTTGAACTCCTGACTTAAACAACCCTCCTGCCTTGGCCTCCCAAAGCTCCTACTTGTTGAATGAATGGATAAATCCTCTCTAGTCTCTGAATGTAAGTGGCATTTCCTGCATTATTGTTGACCTGCTTTGATGACACAGAGGCAATTGTTGATGGTTATCCACACTCAACCTAGGAATTCTTTTCTTTCTCTTTCTCCTTCCTCTCCTAACCCCCTTTTCTCCCTCTCTTGGCCTCCAGGGCAGTGATGTCTGGAGGAAGCATAGGGAAGCATGGCCTGGAATAGGCAGTCCCAGCCGCTTACCTCTCCTGAGGTGATGTGTATTAGAGATTTAAACTGGATGAGCTTCTCAAAGGCAAAGGAGGAAACAGCTGCTCGGAACCTGATGGCTGTGCGCTGGTTGATGATCCAACTGCAGGAGAGACTCACAGACTTCAAACATTCGGAGAGAAAAAGGGCAAAGCAGAGTCCTACTCCAAGGACAACATTCCCCGACTGCTCTTCTGAATATTCCAGGATTTTTGGTATAATCAATGCCTACAAGGAAATGGGAGTTTGGATCATTCAGACTGCCCCGCCAAACACGTTTGATGTTTTGTTGCTGGAAGAAAGGTTGGGAGGTCTGATTCATGCTGGGGATTTGTTGAAGGATCAAAACTGACTAAGTACAATCCTGCCCTCAAGAAGCTTAAGGTCCAGTTGGAGGAGACTTAGGAGTTCAACTGACCCAGTTCTGAAATCTTAGGTGGTTGTCCTCATCCTGACAGGAGACAAGGGGCACACACAAAACAGTGATTTAGGAGTTAACGAAGTGGCTTTACAAAGGTGTGGGCAGAATATAGGAAATCCAACAAGGCCTGGTGGAGCACCATGGAGCTGGTGACAGCAGGGAACAGTGGCCTCCTTTGACCTAAGGGGCAAGAGCAGGAAGAGGTTCCAGGGCCCAAAAGGGGTGAGACGTGCAGAGAGGGTCTGGACAGGAGCTCTGATCACCAGCCTCCAAGGACAAGGAGGGAGGCCGCCCAGGGAATACGTATCCTGACCTCATCTTCTCCCTCCTTCCAGTCTCCTTTTGGAATCTCCCACTGGTCAACCCTAACCAGAAGCCAGAGGGCAGTGGGGGCTCATTAATGTGATCCACACTAGGGGCACAGGGCAGGATGGAAAATGACGGAGAGTGGATCTAGAAGACCTGGCACCTGTCACCCGACTCAGTTATCTCCATTCTGTCATAGACTGCTGTTTCTTCCTGACCTACATTCACCTCCCCTGAGCTGGTACCAGTGCCTCAGTTTTCTCCTGGGAAGATTCCCATCTCCCCCATTGGTGCAGTCTAGGCTGGACTGTAAAAGTGCCCCACTTCTTCTGGCCAACCAGTGATCATGTGACCCCAGTTGGCCAATCAGACTCTTTCTCTCATATGAGCCTCTTGGGCTGAGGAACTGGAGAATGATGGGAGATAAAGCCCATTCATCCCAACCATGGTACCTGGAGAAGACCATTATTTCCTGCTACCTACATTCCCAGAGTTGCTCGGCCATTTCTCAGAGGAGCTAACATGTTCCGAGCCAGGCCATATTCTAAGTGCTTTATATACTTATCTCATTTGATGTTACCCTATGAGGCAGTTCTCCATTTTACATGCAAGGGTTTCCATAAGGTCTACACTTCAGGGTGCATGGGATTCCATGGGATTCCATGAGGAAACCAAGGCACAGAGAGCATGACTATACTGCCCGAAGTCGCCCACCAGCTAAGTGGCAGGGACATGGTTTGAACCCAAGCAGTGGCTACAGGGCCACTCCTTGGTAGTTAGCTACTCCTAACCACCATGCTCTACCGCCCTCCAAAGGTCTTCACTTTCTAGACAGCAACTGAAAGACAAATGCATCTCTAACTCACGGCATGGACTTGAACATGCCACCAGTTCCATTTCTAAACCTCTGAAGCCTAGAGTCCCCCAAACCTCACCAACTCTGCCACTTACTGGCCCGAGTACACTGGCAATGCAGAAGCAGACACCCAGAAGTGCATCGAAAATCATCCTTGTTCTCTGGAACCTCAGCATCACCAGAAACACTGAAGCTTTTTCAATCCCTCGCCTTGAGACTTCTTCTTCCCAAAGGCGGTGAAGCCTTGAAAAGAGGATAATGGAACTAGTGGAATCTCTTTGCGTGTGACATCCAAACATCCTAGTTCTTGCTAGCCAGGAGTTTTGTTGCAGAAATTTTCAAATATAACAGAATAGAACAATGTAGTAATCTTCTGAGTACTCATCCCCCTTCTTCCAGAATTAAAAATATTTGACATTTTTGTTTCATGTCTCCTCCCTTTAACTTTTGTTTCCTGGAGGATTTGAAGCAAATCTCAGTCATCGTATCATTTTATCTGTAAATGCTTCAGGATGTATCTCTTTCAGATAAAGTCCTTTAAAAAACCATAGCAACAGGGCCAGGTGCAGTGGCTCATGCCTGTAATCCCAGCACTTTGGGAGGCCAAGGCGTGTGGATCACTTGAGGTCAGGAGTTCGAGATCAGTCTGGTCAACATGGTGAAAACCCCACCTCTGCCAAAAATGCAACAATTAGTTGGGTATGGTGGCATGAGCCTGTAATCCCAGGTACTCAGGAGGCTGAGGCAGGAGAATTGCTTGAACCCAGGAGGCAGAAGTTGCAGTAAGCTGAGATCATGCCTCTACACTCCAGCCTGGGTGACAGAGTGAGACTCCATCTCAAAAAATACAAAAAACAAACCAACAACAACAACAACAACAACAAAAATAGTAAAAATAAAAATAACACTACAGTCAGGCGCCTATAGTCCCAGCTACTTGGGAGGCTGAGGCAGGAGAATGGCTTGAACCTGGGAGGCGAGTTGAACCAGTGAGCCGAGGTGGCGCCACTGCACTCCAGCCTGGGTGACAGACCGAGACTCCGTCTCAAAAAAATAAAATAACATAACAGCAGAGTAACAATAATTACTTAATGGCATTTAATGCCCAGTCTGTATTGAAATTTCTCTAATTATTTAAACATGTCTTTATAAAGTTAGTTTCTCTGAATCAAGATCCAAACAAGGTCCACACATTGCATCTAAAGGAGAAATCTGATAGAACTCTTGGGTTGCATTTTACTCTGTAAGCATTTCCCCTGGTCTGCATTTCTACGCCATTTATTTGTTGAAGAAACTGATTTTTATTCATTCTGTAGGATCTTACACACTCTGAACTGGACTGATTGCATCTCCATGGTGTTGTCTAACATAATCGTTGTTCCCCTGTGCTTCCTAATAAACTGGTCATTAGACCTAAGGCTTAATGAAATCCAGAATTCAAGTCATTTGGAAAAAAAAATTAAGAGGTGATGTAGTGTACTTCCTGTTGCCTCACATCAGAAACCACATGATGTCTGGTGTCCCACTTTTAGGAATGTTGAGGAGGTCAGTGGGTTAGGGTGTGTCAGCCTGCCTCCTTCATCTTCAAGATCTCCAACACTGATGACCACTGCCTAGCGCCACCTCCACTAGTGCTGGAAAAATGATGAGTTTTCTAATTCTTCCATTCCCTCTGTATTTAGTAGTTTGGGTATATAGTGAGACCTCATCTTTAAACAAAAAACAAAAATGGAGTGATTGCAGAAGTGTTTGTGGACAGACATTGTGAGTAATGAAATTAAAAAGAGAATCAGTGAACTGGAAGAGAATGGAAGGAAGTCAGGAGATCTTGTTACTCACAATGGTTAGAGAAGAACAAGCAAACTCACATTGACTTAGCTGGTTACCTATTAAGCATCAAGTGTTTTTCCAGGTACATCATCATCATCATTATTATTATTATTATTGTTATTTGAGATGGAGTCTCACTCTGTCACCCAGGCTGGAGTGCAGTGGCGCAATCTTGGCTCACTGCAACCTCCACCTTCCGGGTTCAAGCAATTCTCTGTGTACTTTAAAAAATGAATTTATCACCTCTTTTGTTTCTTGCAACAATCCTATGAAGGACCATGAAATAAATTTATGATCCATTATTTATTAATGTTTTTTTGAGACAGAGTCTCGCTCTGTTGCCCAGGCTAGAGTGCAGTGGCGTGATCTCGGCTCACTGTAAGCTCCGCCTCCTGGGTTCACGCCATTCTCTTGCCTCAGCCTTCTGAGTAGCTGGGACTACAGGTGCCCGCCACCACGCCCAGCTAATTTTTTTGTATTTTTAGTAGAGATGGGGTTTCACTGTGTTAGCCAGGATGGTCTCGATCTCCTGACCTCGTGATGTGCCCGCCTCCGCCTCCCAAAGTGCTGGGATTACAGGCGTGAGCCACTGCGGCCTGCCAATCCACTATTTTATACATAAAGACACAGGGCCCAGAAAGGGAAACTTATCTGATATCATAGTCAGTAAGAGGTGAGATTCTGACCAATATCTGGCATTATCCAAAAAGTATTTCCTGGAACCATTTCTTTTTCTCTTACCAAGTAAGTCTGAGAAGGAATGGGTCAAAGTTTACCCAGTTTCTGTACTCCATGTGAAAACATGTGCCTTCAATATGTTAAGTTGCTTTGTAAATCTCCAACATCTGGCTATAGTACAACATTTCACCAACTCCCCTGACTACTGAATGCTCTTTATGGGGAGGCTCTTATGAGACTATAATTTCCAGAACACATTTGGGAACTCATTTTCCACCTGGTATCTCTCATGAAGCAGCTAGAGGTAGGAACATGAATACAGGACCTTTAAAATCACATATTCATATTCTCCCACTTTTTGTCCTCATATTACTGTGTGTGACAGCTGGTACAAGAAATTTAATCATACAACTAGTTAGCGGTGGCTTGAGCATTGGGAGACTGGGCCACTTACCCAAAGTAATACTCAGTGTCACTGTCGAATGCCTGATCCAGAAGAGAAAATCAAAATGAACTAGAAGTGGTCATTTCTAAGTTTCTTGGGACAGGCGTGGTGGCTCACGCCTGTAATTCCAGATCTTTGGGAGGCCAAGGCAGGTGGATCACCTGAGGTCAGGAGTTCCAGACCAGCCTGGCCAACATGGTGAAACCCCGTCCCTACTAAAAATACAAAAATTAGCCAGACAAGATGGCAAGTGCCTGTAATTCCAGCTACTTGGGAGGCTGAGGCAGGAGAATCACTTGAACCCAGGAGGCGCAGGTTGCAGTGAGCCGAGATTGCATCACTGCACTCCAGCCTGGGTGACAGAGAAAGACTCCATCTCAAAAATAAAAATAATGATAAAAATAAAATAAAAAATGATAAATAAATAACTTTCTTGGGTTCACAAACCTTTTGGTAAATCTGATAAGAGATGTGAATTCTTGCTCCAGAGAAAGATCTCCAGCCCGTATGTACAAAATATCCATACCATTGTAGGAGATTCATGAACCCCAGGTTAAAAACCCTCACCTAGTATGAGGCCTCTTCCTACAGGAAGAGCCAAGTGGTCTGGGGTGGACCTTCCCTACCACCCTTAGGCATCTCTGGTCATCATCCCACCAAGAGATAGTCTTTAACTATTCCACTGGTTTGCCCAGCCCAGCTTTACCTTTGGACATTTTTGTCTGAGGCATCATGGACTGACAGTGGAGGGATGGTGTTCTCATCTAAGCGATTCCGAAAGCTTTGGATCATGAGTGGGGTGAGCCATGACATGGTGAGGTAGGAGAACAGACCAGCATCATCCAGGGGCTGGGGGGCAGGAAACCTAGTAGAGGGGCCACAGGGATAAGAATGAAGTCAGGATCAAGATTTTGCAAGGATGAATGATAACCATAGAGAAACACAACGAGGTCACCCAGATCTACACACAAACATGTGTTCATGACTCTTATTTGTAAGTTGAAAACCATAAACAACAAAAGTACCCATTAACTGGGGAATTATTTAAACAAAAAGAGAGAAATTATGATCTACCCATACTATAAAATGCAAATGCAAATTCAATGTAGATGTTTGGATTTTTTTTTTCAATAAGGTTTGTTTATATGTAGAACACAGGAAGAGTTCCAAGCAAGAGCCAAAAAAAGAACACTTGCAGATTAAAAACTCAGTATTGGCCGGGCGCAGTGGCTCACGCCTGTAATCCCAGGGCGCGGTGGCTCACGCCTGTAATCCCAGCACTTCCGGAGGCTGAGGAGGGTGGATCACCTGAGGTCAGGAGTTTGAGGCCAGCCAGGCCAACATCGTGAAACCCTGTTTCTACTAAAAATACAAAAATTAGCTTGGTGTGGCGGTGTGCATGCCTGTAATCCCAGCTACTTGGGAGGCTGAGTTGCGAGAATCGCTTGAACCCGGGAGGCGGAGGTTGCAGTGAGCCGAGATCACGCCACTGCCGCTCCGGCCTGGGAGACCGAGCATGACTCCGTCTCAAAAGGAAAAAAACAAAAACAAAAAAAAAGTATTTTTTTTTTTACTTATATAAAAAAGGAACAAAGGAGGGAAAGCAGACAAAAAAGTATATACATTTATATCACATTGCTGATTGTGGTTGACGTTGAAAAAGGAGTTGGAGTTGGCAAAGAAATAGGAAGAGAGGTTCTCATGGCTTTAATTCTTCTGTGAAACTTTTACAAACAATAAAATTGAATGTATACATAGTTAAAGATGATAAGGTATTATCTTTAAGAATGATTTACAAATACCAAAAATGATTAAATTAGGGTGTTGGGATTATGTGTCATTTTTCCACTTATTTTTTTTCAAAATTGCCTTTAAGGTTATGTGTTTCTGTGGGAAGAAAATGCAATTTGAAAAGAGACTTGAGGAGAAAGATGGGAAGATGAAAATGCCGAACTTATAAGATTTCTTTTGAGGGTAGGGGAGAGGGGCTATGACATCTTTTCTCCACTCTTTTATATCCTGTGTTCTCCACAAGGCTGGCCACATGCCCTTGCCAGGGATATTGGAGCAAGGAGCGGGTGAGGGGAGGGCAAGAGATTGTACTATTTGTGATCACAAAAGACAGGGCAAGACCTATGAACTAGTGCTAATATCTCAAAGCCCCAATAGAAACAATATATTTATCTAAGATGAGGTTACCCAGGTGAACAAAAGTACCAAGGTTCTTTTTTCTTGGTGGAGATAACATAATTCAGTATGGTAACAATGCAACCAGTATGGACAGAAGCTCAGAGTTTAAAAATGGGAAAACAAATGCAGTTTGTTGATAGATAAAAATCTTAGAAAACATGTTGAAGAGAAGGAGAAATTGTAAACACAAAATGAACTTTTGGTAATTAAACGCTGAAGAGTCAGACTACCAGAGCGTTAAGATCTTGTCAATAAATAACAAATAGATGAGCGTGTGCATGCTTACCAGCGTGATTCTGCAGGGGCCCCTGAAAGCAAGGCTGTGTTAAGTTAGAAAGCAACTTGGTCCTAAATTATAAAGTATTCCTATGTTGCTTTAGTATTTATTACAATAAAAACGGTTTGAAATATATTCTTTATGCATAAAATACCCTGCTAGAACCATTACTGCTAGGAAAAGAAAAAAACAACTCATATTAAATGGCTGTTTCTGCTATGGATGATATTTTAAATTGAAAAGTTCACTTTAAATTATTTTTACAGGGAAGACTGTTTTCAGCTATTTTTATATTGTACATAGTCTTTATGTAATCTACTAGCATACGTTTTGTTGACTGTTTAATGACTGGATATGTTCCATCAACTTTTGAAATAAAAACCAATGTTTTATACTTGTACATAGTTTTAAAGTCGATTAAAATTGGCCAGGTGCAGCAGCTCACATCTGTAATCCCAGCACTTTGAGAGGCTGAGGCAGGTGAATCACCTGAGGTCAGGGGTTCAAGACCAGCCTGGCCAACATGGTAAAAACTGTCTCTACTAAAAATATAAAAATTAGCCGGGCATGGTGGCAGGCACCTGTAATCTCAGCTACTTGGGAGGCTGAGGCAGAGAATCACTTGAACCTGGGAGATGGAGGTTGTAGTGAGCCCAGATCACGCCACTACAATCCAGCCTGGGCAAGAGAGTGAGACTCCATCTCAAAAAAATAAAAATAAAAAATAAAACAAACAAAATTTTCTTGTGACTGTTTTCTGTTAAAAAAAGAAAGCAATTTGGGGATGATTACATTAAACTATGATTGATTCAGGGGGTATACACTGAATTTCTTTCATTCTTAAATGTAAGGTTAACAGCCTAGGGCCTTCCTGTGGCTCCTGGTTACTCCTATAACCAAGGCCAGTATCCTTAACGTGACCTTTGAGAACCTGTCTGATCTGCCTTCCTCTGCAGCCTCACCTCATGCCACGCCCACATCGCACAAGACTCTCCAGTGACACTGGCCTCCTTCTTTCTCAGTTCCTGGACACATCATGCTGTGTTCCTTGCCCCTCCAGGCAAGGCTGTCCCAGAGGCTGTTCCCCGAACATTCTTCTCCTACTCTTGCTTAGGAAATTCTTGTTCTCCCTTTAGGTGTCACTCAGCTTAAGCCACTCAGAACCTATCAAGTTGTCATGGTTCTCCTGTCCCTCAACACTCGCATATTTCTTCACAGCACCTTCTTTAAACAGCTTGTAATCACGTCATGCACAAGTCTATTTGCTCATTGTCTTTGTCTCCCATGTGAGGTCCCTGATGGCAAAGATCACATCTGTTTGCTCACTGTTCTTCCCGTGTGGTGTAGCGCAGTGCCTGGCACATGTAGGTGCTCAATGATCCTTTCTGAATGAATAAATAATGAATGAATGGCTATGACGATGTGCCTCCCTGATGTGCCTCAGGCTTCTCTGAAGGGTTTTGGCTGTGTAGGGACGTAGTTATGCAACCTTCACGAGAGGTCTATTTGGCAGGGTTAGGGATCATTGACCTGGTGGATACAGCTCTCCCCTACCACCCCCATCAGGACTCACCTTGGCTTGGGGCGGAAGGGAATCATGGTTCTCAAGGCAGCATCATACTTCCCCCACGGTGGGACAGTTGCCCTCCCCGGAGCCTCCGGATTTCTCTCTTGCTGACTCCAGGGGCCATCTTGGAGAGTGTAGGTTTTCTTGGAAAAGAAAAACAAAAGAGCATCAGTTTCAAAACTCATAAATTCTGTCCTGAGGGAATGTTGGACCAGATGCCCATGGAGAGATGGATTTTTCTATATCCTGCTTCCTAAAGAAAGGCTTCCGCACTGGGAGTAAGCAGGGGGCCTAGAGTTAGAACAAGTAGGTCCCGGCACTCGCTCTGCCCACATTTGCTGAGTGAGTCTGGCCAAGTCAAAGAGGTATCTTTGGATTTTTATCTGACAGTAAACAATTTAGACAGGAATAAAGGGTGTCATAGTTAGTTACCTGCAGAATGAGGGACCAAGTCACTCTTTGAGGGTAAATCTACTAAAAAGAAACCAACAAGTAGAAAAGCAAATCCTAAAATATTATACGTTTCCCTTTTGACAACTAAAATAAAAGGACAGGTAATTTTTAGGACTTCATATAGAATACATAATATATTCTATATAAAATAATACTATTTTAAAAGCACAGCAAGGATTGACAGAAAGAGGCTCAGAATAGTGGTTACATCAGGTAGGAAGGGTTGGGGAATGAGATGGGGGAAGACCAATTGCTGCGTCTGATTGTCAAGGTCCAAGCTGATATGTTGGTGATGGGTTTGCAGATGATGATGATGATTATTATTACGAGTAAATGCATAGATAAGTAAGTAATAGGTGACAGATAGATATAGAGATAGTTACAGTCTAATCTCTATACAATCTTATGCATAGAGATATGCATAAACCATGAAGGTGTGCCATGATGACGGATTATAATTGATCTAATTGTGGAAGCCCGAGGTCCATTTGAAAAAAGTCAAGAGTAGCTGGGTGGGTTGGCTCATGCTTGTAATCCCAGTGCTTTGGGAGGCCAAGAGAGGAGGATTGAGGCCAGAAATTCAAGACAAGTCTGGGCAACATAGGGAGACCCCCGTTTCTGTGAAAAATTTAAAAATTAGTTCAGTGTGGTGGTATGTGCCTATAGTCCCAGCTACTCAGGAGGCTGAGGTGGGAGGATCATTTGAACCCAGGAGGCTTCAGTGAGCTATGATTGTGCCACTGTACTCTAGCCTGGGTGACAAAGCAAGACCCTGAGTCAAAAAAAAAAAAAAAGAGAGAGAGAGAACAAAAAAAGAAAAGAAAAAAATTTACAAATTCAAGGGTAAATAAGTATAGGAAGAAATTGTTCGACGTAATTTATGACTATAGAGAATAATCTGCCAGCTCAGTTTCCTGGGGTGCTGATGCTAAGAGATCTACTTACATAACTAAGTCCTGAAACCATGTCATCGCCTATGTCAATGCCAAGATTCACAAGGCCACCAGAAGAGTTGGGCACCCAGTATGTCCTCTTCCTAGTCATTTTCAGTTCCTGCCAATTCTTCGTTTCCCAGAATCAGAGAACATGAAAAGACAGCAGGAGTTAGAGGCAGCTTAGGTCCCGTCTTGAGCAGCCAGGAGAGGGGGCACTACCCTGCCGCGAGCATTTTGGGGTCATGCAAAGGTTTGGGTGCCTGCTCTTTTCTCTCCTTAGCATGTGCTTGATCCCTCTTTTTAAATATCTTCTCAGACCTCAGGCCCAAATCATTAGCGAAACTTTCTCTAACCACCCTCCCTAACCCACCCCTAACACCATACCCTTGATCCTGGGCAATCTCCTTTGGTCTATCAAAGCCCTGCTCGTAAAATCAGTCTTCTTGCTTTATCCCAGTCTGTAACTGTGTATTTGTTTGAATCATTGTTTGTTCAGACTTCGTTTATGCACTACACAGAGAGCCTCATGAGCACAGGGATGTGTCTGCTTTCCTCGCTGTTGAATTTCCGGGGCCTGGAACGTGCTGGGAGGACAGCAGGTGCTCAACAAATGAAGAAGGAATGGACGCATACGTGAATGAAAGAAACATCATTTTGCCCTTCTTTCACTCTTGGTTTTCACAGACCCCAGAGGGAATCTGGGCACAAGGTAGGAAACTTAAATAATTAGGGTTGTTGTTGTTTTTTTTTTTTTTTTGATGCGCCTTTCATATTTGTTTTCCTGAGTATGTGACTCACTCCCTGCTTGACTCAGAACACTCATGTGCCTGGGGCAGGAGAGAAGGTAAGTAATTAGGAATATTCTGAAGAGATGGAAAGAGAAAGCATGCAGCAGAGCCAGGGCCATGGGGGTACAGCCTGTGTCCCCGAGAGCCCCAGGCTTAGTTTAATGCTTTTCTGTTGCCATCTTGAAATTTTTAATACATTTGAACAAGAAGACCCACATTTTCATTTTCATTTACATTTTGCACTGGGACCCACAAATTATGTAGTTGGTCCTGGTGTTCAGATATAGCTTTTACCATTCAAATACTGAGGCTGGGCTTGGTGACATGCATCTGTAATTCCAGCACTTTGGGAGGCCAAGGCAGGAGGACTGCTTGAGCTCAGGAGTTTGAGACCAGCCTGGGAAACATGGTAAAACCCTGTCTCTACCAGAAATATAAAAAATTAGCTAGGTGCGGTGGTGCACACTTGTGGTCTCAGCTACTTGGGAGGCTGAGGCAGAAGAATAACTTGATCCTGGAAGGTGGAAGTTGCAATGAACTGACATTGTGCCACTGTACTCCAGCCTGGGCAAAAGAGCAAGACCCCATCTCAAAAAACAAAACAAAACAAAACAAACATTCAAATACAGGATTGTACTTCAAGCAAATAGACTGCAAGCTAACCCATTACTTTGTGAGAAGTTACTCTAGATTTCTTTGTCCCATTCCCTCCCATCCCACTTCCTTTTACCAAATCACAACCAGATCTGGTAGAGTCAGTTGCTGGAATTTTCTTGCAGACCATATAAGATAGACTTCCCAGCCAGGGCACCAGGCCATGGGCTTACTTGCCATGTAGTGGTAGAATGTGGACACTTCAGGGATGACAGAAAAAAGAGAGAGAAGAAGGTGTATTAGATAAGAGAGAGTGACACACACTCTTTACAGCTCTGGGAAGAAGACTGGCTGCCATGAACCAGCCTAGAATATACCTGCATTAAAGTAAAACTGGCATGATTCCCTAGAATGAGGCCCTGTGGATGGGGCCATGGTGTATTGCTGTATGATTTATTCACACACGAACATCCCCAGTAAAGGGAATAGAGCAGGGGGTGGAGACAGCAAATTTCAGAGTGCAAGTCTCATATCCTTGCAAAGGACTTCCTCAGTGCTGTGCTGATAAATGTCTGTATCTGTAACAAACCTGTGGTTGCAATTGGTGATTAAGTATAGTTCCAATGCTACTTGCCATTTTGCTCTATGTTAACAAGAGGAAAGTGCAATACCAGAGATGTATGTTGGTTGAATCTTCACTCATTTGTCAATGACCTGAGTAACTTTGCTGAATAGTTTTCAAATGCTGAAAGAATATTCCCTTATTTTATTTTACTACTCACAATATAACGGCTACACGTCCCACACACTTGTAGATTTAATCTACATTATTAACATTTCCTACATTTCTTTCTTAAGACTAGACAATCAACAAAATGATAAATCCAGCCCCGATATGTAGCCTTTGCCTATTTCTGTGGTGTAAACACACCCATCATAGCTGATTTCATGATGTGATACCAACATAACTCCACCGAATGCAGAGCTGGGAAGAGACGCACAGCACGACATCACCATATACTGTTTCTACCACAGATATATAATAGATGTAAGTAACCTTAGAAATATAAATAACAGCAAAAGGTAGCAAAATAAGTAGGAAATGATACATTTTGAGTATTATCTTTGTTTTTGATATAATTTATTTAAGTGTAAGTTTATATAACTTGATTTTTAATAATGTTTGTGTTTAGCAACTAGGCTCTCAAAGTTCATGAAAATTTGACCGCTGATTCTCATGAAGCAGTAAGAGCAGGCGCCAGCAGACCACTGTGGCATCCATCTTGCAAGAGTGCTGCCTTTTCTTAAATCCTCGTCTTGCTGGGCACATCATTTTCCAATTCACTTCTAAGTGCTCTATGGGCTGTGGCTGGCTGTGCTGGTGGTAAGCTTTCTTGGCTTCCCTGTGGTATAGATGGGAAGAAGAAGTTGCTAAAAGTCTGGGTGAAGGACTTTCCAGAAGTGGCATACTGGACAACCCAGGCTGTAAACAGCTGAGAGTCATGGAGAGATCTTGGAGGGTATTATGGTGCCAACGGAAGTGGGACAGGGGAGTCCTAGCAACTCAGAGAACACCCCCAGGTGAGTGAGCCAAAAAAGCTTTATTGGAAGGTCTACCCAAGATCCAGTTGGCTTGCAAAGACAGCAGGACAGTCAGTGACCAAGCAGACAAAAGACCTCTCCTGGGAAAGCCTAGGAGCAGAGGTCACTATGCCCAGGTCCCTGATTCTTTCTCTGCCAGGTGACAACTCTGAGACAGAGCCTTTAGTGAGAATTATTTAATAAAATTATTTAAATTATTGGCTCAAACAAGATCTTAAAATGATAAGCCAAAACATTTATTTTTTCCTCATTAACCAGCAAGTGGGGGATCATGAGGAAGACCAGATTTGTAAAGACCAAGTAAAGAAATTAGATTTTCTCTCACCTCTCAGCTATAGTATGATTTGCCAACCTGGTTTATTCAAATACACCCGCAAAGAGAGGTAATGAAGGTTTCACAACTAGAGATGCAAAGAGATGCAACGAGGGTTACTCATCACATTCTGAAATTGCCATTTCTTTCCTCTATGGCTTATTTGTTTTCTGCATACCTCATTAAAATGTAAGCTCTTTGAAACCAGGGACCTTGTCTGTCTTGTTCACAGATGTGTCTTTGGATCTAGAAGAGTGCCCAGCACATAATGTGACTCTTTCCTATTCAAGATTCATCCAGGAAACTAACAACATGGAAAATGAAACCCAATGAAAATTAAGACAATGCAAACATGTAATAGTTATGCTTGCAGAACATCAGTCGCTCGTCCCAAGCAAACGAGCTTGAGCTCCGCCACACATTAGCTTGGGCCTCCTTCCAGTTCCATGAGGCCCATCTCCACTTCCTGGACTGACCGGGGAATTCCCTCTAGAACTTTCTTTGGCAGTCCCGGAAAAGTTCCCTGGCCTCCCAATTCTCTTTCTGGAAGAAAATGGAGCTGGAGTTTATTCACTCTAATTAGTGTAAGACCATCATTGTAGCAAGAATGGAAACCAGGACATGACTGGGAATAAAACAGAGAGGAAACAACAGATGCTTCCAGTCCTGTGTTTTCCCAATCCCCAGAGGCAAAGGTCAGGATGACAAATTTGATTTGGACGTGGGTTGCTTGCATATGGTGAAACAGACTGTGAACAGGAGGGGAGCCAATGGAGCAGGGTAACCTGTATCAAGGGCTTTCTGGAGGAGCTGATTTATTTCCTTATTCTTATGCAGCAGGGTCTAGTGTCCAAGACCAGAAGGTACATCAGTGGCTAAGGAAGTGTCCAGGGCAAGGAGCCAGAAGCACCTGCCAGATGGGCCCTAAAGAAGTTTAAGTGATTAGATCTTACTCCTCCTGTACCTCACCCTGTGCTATTTAACTTTCTCTGCTCTTAGGTTTATATCCTTCTGTTAGTTCCAATAGCTTCAGGAGGGCATCTTGTTGACTGAAGAATCCCCACATCTCAGTACCTGGCCTTCTCCTCAATTTCAGAAGCTAGGATGATCCTCTCACCTTGATCTTTGCACAAGTCCTAATATCTGCCAAGAATATTCTCCTCCCACCTCCTTGCAGAGCTGGTTCATTCTTGACATTCAGGACTCTACTCAAATGCCACTTCCTCAGAGTAACCTTCCCAGATCCCCTCTCTCCACATCACCTTCTGCATATTCTCCTAATCTACTTCCTTTACTCATCACATTCTGAAATTGCCATTTCTTTCCTTGTTGGCTTATTTGTTTTCTGCATACCTCATTAGAATGTAAGCTCTTTGAAACCAGGGACCTTGTCTGTCTTGTTCACAGATGTGTCCTGAGATCTAGAAGAGTGCCCAGCACATAGTACATGCGTAGCAAATATTCGATGGATAAATGAATGAAGTACATGCAGAGTCTGTCAAAAAAGGAGCTAGGAAAGTCGCACAGTCACAAAAGATTTCACATTTAAATTCTTGGTGTTCTCCCAAGTGGGCTGACACATCCCAATCCGGAGATATAGTGACAGGATTGAAAGAGGGTTTTCATCAAGCAGGCAGGTTAAACTTGGGCCTGTTCCCGCACCACACCACATCTGCTATAGAGCAGCATGAATTTGTATTTTAAAAACTAAATCCAGCCATTATTATGTGAACAGAACATTTATACAGTTTTGTTTATTGTGGTTGTTGGGGCACATGTATGTGTTAGGCCATTTATGCCTAGTGTTCCATT